CCCCAAAACCCCAAAACCCCAAAACCCCTCAAAGGGCTAAAAATCTTGAAATTATAACAATTAAATCATGGAACCCAAAGAAACCACATGCTGCACAATAGGATGTACCTGAGTCCCCATCTGTTATAAGAAAGAAAGAGATAAGAAGAGGGTTTGTATTATTGATTATTAAAATATAATGGAAATGAACATTTTTACAATGGTTCGAAAGGAAGAATAATACAGAACTTTCCAAAACAATATCAAAAGAAAGATACTATACTCTTAGTGAAGGCGATCCAACTCAAGTTGTTTTTATAAAAACGATCAAAGTTTGTTTCATCTCAACAATTTTGCCTCTTTTTGGAACAACAACAATTGTATACCTGCTGGGGATAACCAATAGTCATCCGTCATTCCATCCAGATCCATTTCAAGCACATAAATTTCTCCAAAAAATAAAGAGGGAGGTTTAAGCTAAAAATCTTGATCAAATAGGACCGAAGCTGAGCCTTCTATTATATGGCACTGGGAGACTGAGAGTTTTATGAGGAGAAGAGACCAGTGGGGTGGAGGGGAGAGAGAAGATGTGGATTGGTTTGTGGTCACTGAAGAGGATGTTAGGGTAGTGGAATGTGCGATGGAGGTGGGGGAGGCAGTGTTTGGGAAGAAGGTGGTGGGTGAGAAGGATGTGGGGAGGAGGGAGGTTTATAAGACACTGAGGGAGTTTTGGAAGAGGAATTGAGAGTGGTTGTTGAAGTTGTGAAGAGTAAGGAGGGAATTTTATTTGGAATGGAAGAGTGAAATGAAGGAGTTGTTGAATAATGAATATGAGCAATTTTGAATGACAGAAGTTGAAAAAGAGGAATTCATGAAAGCGAAAGTTCATTATTTTAAATCTAATCTTCTCTTGAGATATTTAGATCCAAAAACATTATTTGAACTTCTATCAGTCTCAAATGATAATATTGGACAACTTTCTTTAAGAGAAAATCCGATATTAACAGAAGAAACAAAAGAAGACATCTGATTCTCTCTTTGAGAGGAAATTAGATCTTGAATTTTTGAGTGCTATTATTTAATTGAGTGATTCTACAACAAGAAGGAACCAATTCAAAGTCCGGGCCTTTCTAAAGCTATAATTTTTATCATAAATGCTGAAAAAAATCAAGATAAGCCCTCTTATGATTGTAAAGCTAAAGTAAAAGAATCTGATGTTAACGAAAGCATACTTACTTCTAATATTCAAAAAGAAAATAATGATTTATCTGATAACATCAGTTTTTATCATCATGACAATGCCTGCGAAGTCATACAAGCTTTGAAAAATGTGAACTCAGCTGAGAAAAATGAGATTCTTAAATTGTACTATAAATGTTTAAAGATAAAGTCAAGTCTAATCTCAAATGATAACCTCAAAGATATTAAAATTCATCAATTAAAAGAGAACAGGGTCTTTCAAAAGCAAACTTCAGATGCACCTATAACTGATGCTAATATTAAAGCTACTTTATGCCAACATTATGAAAAATGTGTTGAAAAAGTCTTCTACTACCTTCCTGAAATAGGAATCCGACTTTGATTCATGCATAGGTTTCATAAGACTTATTTCTTCTGTTCTAAATACACCCCACTGTCCTGATTCGATATCAGACTAGTTTTAGAATATTGCTATTATTATCAAAGCGAATCCCTATACTCAAACAACCGTGATAGTTTTAAGACGCTCAATTTGAAACTTGACGAGCCAATTATTAAACCTAACTTATTTGAATCTCCTTCTCGTGCTGAATGGCTTGTGGTAGTCCAAAATGAAATATTGATGAATTGAACGGAACAATGTGAATCTTTGAATAAAATTAGCGATTTTAAAGACATGAAACAGATTTTAACAGGCCCAGAACTAATTTACTTAGATTCAGATATTGGAAAGAATTGGAATTATTGGATACCGACTTTGGATTACTATGAAAATAATGAAAAGTTTATTCAAAATATGTTAAAAATAGATATCCTCGAATATATCATGGAGAATAGGTTTCCTAAATATTTCAGGGATAAACAAGTTGATTCAAAAGCTGAAGAAATTGGAGATTATTTAACAAAACATTATGTTCATAAAGAACTCAAGTCTAATTTCAGAACTACTAAATCCAATATGGAAACCATTTTTTCTATTAAAAACGAGAATGATTGTTTCTCAACCAATACACCCAACAGAAAAATGAAACTACATTATCAAAACAAATCACCAAAGGCAAGCACAAATAAACATCTTAATTCATATGAGGAATCTTTTCAATCATCCTCCAATTTACATGATTCTGAATCTGAAAGAAACGAAAATTTTCAAAAAGAGGATATTATTATAAAAAATTTGAACCCAGAACAAGATTTAACCCAAGAAAATAAAAGTGATTGTCAACAGGATCAAAATAACTATTATGGAGTTCAAGATGAACCATTTGATAACAACCCAAATGTTAAAATAGAAGAACCCTCTAATTCAGAATCTACTTCTGAAATAACGACATCTAGTAATAATTCATACAGCTTTGTTGATCACAAGAGCATTCATCCTGCTTCTATTTATTCAAAATCCAAAATTTTATCAGAATTTACTCAGAAAGAAGAGTCTAAGACCCCGAACCTCCAACATTCTCAGACAAATAGCCCCAAAATCCCAGAAGAAGTTCATTGTATTGAAGAATACACTGAAAGAGAGATCAAAGATCTTATTGATGAAGCTGAACAAGCAGTTTATACACAAAGAAAAAGCCATGCTTGAAAATTCAACCATAAATCTCTTTCTGAATATTATATCAAGAAAAGATTAGCTAAATTGGAGCAAGGAGAATTAGATGATCCAGTCTATTCTGGATTTGAACTTTCTGATTTTGAGGATTTCAGAGAATTCGCTTTAGACCCAAGATGGAAAGATCAAATCTCAATATCCTCCCAGGGAGAAATTACAGTTCAATTAGATGCAGAAAAGAATATAAGTTTCTTTTCATTAATTAAGTCAAGTCCAGAAAAGTTTGAAAATTTTGATTTGGAGGTCTATGAAGAACAATGTGAGGTAGTCAGGAATTTCTTAGACACTTATTTTCCTGAAAAATGCCAATTCTTTAAGTTATACAGTAAAATTGACAAAAGACTTTGAATTGACTACTACTTTAATTCAATAGTAAACCTGAGCGGCAGAGTTATTCAAGAATTTGAAATTTGTTATTGAGAATTAAGCCAGCATCAAATGATGACTATTTTTAAGGAGTTCAAACATGTCAGCTCTTTAGAATTTTGGGAGTGAACCCTTGCTCTTGAATCTGTTCCTGAATTTGGGACTTCCCTTGAAGGGTCAGATATTATAAGGTTAGGACTGTCATGGAATAATTATGGAGATAATGGCTTTGGAATTGGCCACTTAATTGAAGGATTATCCCAGTCCACTGGCTTCCTTCAGAATTTAAACAAGATTCATTTTAAGGGGTGAGAAATTACTGGAGAAACAAAAGAAATAACAGAACAATTAAAGAAATATGTTGATATCAAAAAATTGAAGATTAGCAGTTAGAATTACTACTGTGATTAAAATATCATTGCACCCAATTTTCAATATCAGTATAAATTCTCGGGGTTTTGGGGTTTTGGGGTTTTGGGGTTTTGGGG